AGGACTTTGTGCTATGGAAAGTAGCAAAATGAAAGCAAAAGTTCTCTGAGTGGTCGTCATGGATTGTAGGCGATGTTTGTGGGGGCGTGGCGTGAATTCATTGACTTCGCTTTTTGATGACCCCCATCTTATTAGTTGATAAAAAGATAGAAAGAAAAAAGAAAATTATCCAAAAAATCTTAAATCAATTATACCACAGTCAATTTTATCCTAAATTTTTTAATTTGATCAATTTAATCCTAAATCTTTTGATGATTGCGAATTTAGTCATTCCGGCCAATTATGAGAGAAAATGGCTTACGTAACAGTCCAATCAGCGCCGGTCGTTCTACATGACAAAGCAGGCGTTAACGTGGACAATTTTTTGAACTTTTTGATTTTTCTTTTCTTTCCTTTTCTTCCAGTTTCCTACGCTGGTTGCGGATCACAGGCTAGGTGAAGCGACATGAGGAGACATGATGCGAGGTAAACTTCGCCGGTCTCAGTGATGGCCGATGGAGGCAAATAGGAAAAAATAAAAAAAGGAAAGGAAAGAAAAAAAAGGAAAAGAATTGTAGAAATTTTTTAAAAATTGAAAAAATTGTCCACGTTAGCATTGGCTGCGTCACGTAGGACGACCGGCATTCACGTCAGCAATTTCCGGCCAAAATTAGCTGGAATAAGCAAGTTTTCAAAAAGTTTAGAATTAAATTAGCCAAATTGAAAAGTTTCACCACCAACTGCTGCAGCATGGCTATTGGATTGACTGGGCTGAGCCAACTGTTTATACATTTTAAAATAACCGTTACTCATTAGCAGCCGTACAATAGGAAATATAAATTATTCATATATATAGTCGAGATTAATATAGTGGAATTTGAGTGAACAAAAGTCATGTCGACTGAATCATATAATTTTTTTTAATATTGCTTTTAATTAAATTCCTGACACGTGGCATTCTACAACTCTATGAGGATCAAGACCAGAACTAAGAAAGGAGGAGACAAGGAGCATTAGCACAATAAAATAAAGTACAGATTAATTAGCCCATCAACTTAAGGGTCAAAGCCTACAAATACCTAGAAAACCATGGTGGTACCTAGGTCCAAATTAAATATTTGAATTTCGCCTTAGGAACTTCCTTTCCGACATTCCGCGATCGAGCAGAAATTCTCTCACCAACTGTCACTTTAGATAAATTATTTTTTTTCTCGGGATGAATAATTTTTATAGTTTAATTAATGCCGTCGGTCCATTTTATCTCAACATTGAAATTCCATCGGAAGTGGAACCTTTGTCATATTGTCACCCTCCAAGCCACTCATTTGTTTTGGTCCTCCGTCCCACCCACCTATCATTATCAAATTGATTAATTCTCATTTTTCTTTTTTTCTTTATCATATTCCTTCCCGGGCAAACACACAGAATACAAATGGATAATGGATATTCTTGTTTTCATTATTATAAATAACTTTAATTGCTGGATGCCCAATATATCCTGATCAAGTAGTATGCTCTTTAATTTGACTATTAATGGTAAATTAAAAGCGTATGTATATGCAGTTCTTTTCTTTTCTTTTTCAACGTAGAAAGCCGATGCTACAATACTTCTCTAAGCTTAATATTTCCTAACACGTGTAACCTAGGAAAAAGATGCTTCTGTACAATTGAAAAGATATTGTGTAGACTTTTTTATTGATCAAATACTCATTAATTTTGGAATATTTCAAATTCACAGCATATGATGAATAATTATTCTTCAAAATAATAGCATTACCGGTAACATAATCACCTCCGATTTCATCTGTAGATATTCTGTTAAAATATTATGAATATCAAATGATCTGAAAGGAACTGGGAGAAAATGGATCCAACATCAATGATTACATAGAAAAAATATTTTCAAAATTGAATGCCGAAAAAGGTGGATCTAACATCAATGATTTCATAGAAAGTTCACGTTTTTGCCGCTGTACAAAATTAAAGAGCAACTTTGACATTTTGAAATGATAATTTACCATTTTGGGACACTCGAATTTCGAAGAAGCAGAGAAGAAACCATAGAATGGAATGGAAGTGATTTGTTTTCATAGATGAAAAGAGAGGGGAGGGGCAACTTGTAGAAACCCACGTCGGGATTTTACAAAGAAAGCCTTAAAACATGTCGTAAAACTTCCGATTTGATTTGAGTCGTAGTTATTGCTCATAGCGTTTCAACCCAAAAGGGATCTCTTGAATCCAGATCTCGGGAATGGCAAGTCATCATTGCATACTTATAGGTTCGAAGCCTGAGAAATTACCCCTATCTATACTTTATGAGGATTTTTAACCTAACAAATTTCTGTCCAAAGTCTTCATGGAATACCCACATCTTCTTTTTTGAGATGTATGATGGTGAAGAATTGACAAAAAATTCTCAACCAATCCCATAAATACTCTTTTCTGTTTACTATGCAATTTTTCTTCTTCTTCATTTTTTTCTTGGGGTGTTTCGTCCCTTATAGTGTGGTTGGCTTATATACGTAGGCCATCATACAAACTACGAAAAAACCAGAGTAGATAAGATCGCGGGGGAAGTGGAGTGGTATTGCTTTATAGGCAGAGACAAGACCCATCGCACAAAGTTTTTTTGGTATAGTCTCGGACACACTTTCCTCAGTTCGAGGCGAAACCATGGAAGAAACCACATCTTTTTAGTTTCTTCTTTCCCTCTCTCTTTTGGCTCTCTCTCTCCAAGTGTCGTTCCACATCACCACGTTTTTTTTAGGGTATTATTACAATAATTTGAGTGAGTGGTGGGTTTATTTTGGCACTTTATACGTATAAACCACACGAGTACTTTTCACTCAGCTTAGAACATGCTCTCTCTCTCTCTCTCTCTCTCTCTCTCTCTCTCTCTCTCTCGTACACACGAAAAAAGGTTTGGATAGAGAGAAGCGACAGGCCCATACAAAGGCAAAAAAGAGAGCTCGGTCCCATTTTTAGTGAGACCTGACGCCTGCAATTCGTTTTCACATACATTATTCCTTTTGGTTATTATTGAATTGCCCTTCTAATTTTTTTGAAAAATTTTATCCACGGGTATTCTTCAAGAGAAAGCCTTATCTAGATCCGCACTTATAGCCGGGGTGGAATTATAGCCATTGGACCATGTTGGATTCATGCAGAACTCTCGAGAGCAACTATTAATATTGATCCGGTCCATATAAATATGCATCTTCAAGGCAAGATTTTCCCGTCCTTTAAATGCTATTTAGGCAGTTAATTAACAATCTGTTGTTTTTTTGTTATAATTGTTCCTTGTTAAGCATGCTTTATTAATGTGTTGAATGCACAAAATATGTTATATATATTTATTTATCTATTTTGATACTTTTATAGCAATGACTCTAGTGATGATGGTGTCTAGCTAGCCGCCCAATCATGCTGGGGCCTCATAAAGTGTTTCATTTTGCTTCCTCCTTAAGCCATTTTCCAACCAATCACCATCATCTCTCTCTCCCTCCTTCAACTTTTCCAAATTGGTAAATGTTTATCGTTGTCTAGCAGCTCTCGCTTTTCCTTTCGTGGTAATGGACTATATGGTATGAGGAGGCACTGGTCATAGGTGTTAAAAAAAATTAAATCATAAAAAAAAACCTTGTCTCCTTGACGAAGAAATCAATCAATCATTTAACTCATGCTTTTAGTATATGGTTTGCTTTTTTGGGCAGGTGATTTAAAAAATCAATTATATCATGCAACGTATTATTCATAATGGTTCCCTGAGGGGCACATGTTACACACGTTGTAATATACCGGCAAATCAACATATCGTGATTTCATGATGTTTTATGCCAATCTGAAATATTCATTACACTCGGTGCATCATGGATCATACATAGAGAAGTTACTACTTAATGTTTGTTTATTGGACCTCTTATAGAGTTCGGTGCATCATGGATCATACATAGAGAAGTTACTACTTAATGTTTGTTTATTGGACCTCTTATAGAGTTTGCTAATCTAGGGCTTACTTCCCTAATGAAAATGCCTATGTTCTGTGCTAAGGTAATTTCAAATGAATGGGGCATTGCGTTCATTCTGTGTTATGCACAGTGAGGGCATGTGAGCTCCCTTTTAGGAATGGGCATTTGGTTTGATGCAGCCGTTTAATTGGTTTAGTGGTCGGTCCAATTCTAAGTCGGTTCTACGACGAATCGGTTCATTCCTCGACTCTTGAATACTCATTTTAGCCTAGTAGGACTGGTGGGATTCTCAAGCCCGACCTTAGAACCACCCCTTCCTCCTAAAATTGGCCTAATCAGTCCATTTCTACAGTCGAAAAAAATGAATTCCAAGAAAATTTTCACATTTATTACTCGTTTACGATACCATATAATTGATAATTTTAATTTTGCTATTGTTTTCGGAAGATTTTAGATTGCTAGAATTATACAATTAATAATTTGGAAAAACAAAAGATCATATCATAAGTAGAGAATAGAGAGAATCGGTCTTGAACCATCTATTTGGACTATGATTCCAACTTTTGAGAAATTGATTTGGGTTGACTAGATTCATAGTTCCGTCTCTAGGACCAAGCCGCTCAAGTCTCAGTCATGCTCAATGCTAATCTATATATGGTAAATATTGTTGTCCACACTTCAAAATCGTATCACGCTCTATGCGAAAACTAAATCTATGACATTTTCTCTTACACGGGTATCGGCAAATATGACAAGAAACTCGATTAGAGTTCATCCTATTACTCATCATTCGATTTTGCGAATATGTCGCAGTATTCACATAAAAAATCACCGTTACCCTTCTTATACTATGATCGATATATGCACTAATTTCAGTACAACTTTCTCATCGCCCACGATTGATTTAATACATATATAAATGAGTGCATACCATTATAGTTTGGCAACATTTTTACAGTGCACGCACAGACATGTCTTTTCAAAGGAGGGGTCCCATTGCACACGATTCCAAAGGCCTTTTGGCCTCCTTTTTATACCCCCCAAGCCCGTCCCTTCCCCAGCCATCAGCCACACACAACCCTCCCTCCCTCAAAAAACGTCATCTTCTCCTTCTGTGTTCTCCTCTTCGTCTCCTATCCTCCCCTCGAAAAGAAAAATATTCAAAAAAAGAAGGGAAAAATCGACTCCTCAGAAGAATTTTTGAAGCTCTTGCTTTTATCAGCTTGAGGTAAATGAACACGCACTCTCACTGTGTGTCTGTGTCATGATTTGATCCCACGTACTCAAATGCTTGTCTATATATCACAAGGTTCTGTAACTCGATCTTTTGTTCGATAACTCAGCGTAGATTCTGTTTCTTGGGATTCACCAATTCATGCATGTTCTAGCTCGTTTCTTCTTTTGCCCTAGCTCACTTGTTATCTCCATCATTCCCCTCTCTGCAGCTTCTTCTTGGAGATCAGAGAGAGAGTGAGAGAGAGATAATATGACAGCTTTTCTAAGCCAAAGCCTTGGTCTATCTCCTACTCTCAAAGCAATGGTCCATCATTATGAAGAAACCAAGGTGGTCATCGGCGAAAAGCAAGGGATCACCACCATTCTTGGATCTGAGCCCGCAAAACCCACCTCTTCATTGCGCCGGACTCTATCCGCCGATATGTCCTCCAAGAAGTGGCTCTCCCAAAATGGGTTGGTCTTCAAGAATGCTCTGGCCCATATTGCAGACTCATCTTCTTCCTCTGAAGAAGATGATGAAGAAGACTGTTATGAGGATAAGAGGAAGGAGAGTCGAGATCTGGAGAAGTCGAGCCAGTTCGATATCTGGAGCTCGATCATCTCCCAGAAGCACGAAGAGCCGTCCGTGCAGGCCCCGCCGCCATATGTTCACCCCCTGGTGAGGCGGTCTGCCAGCTCCTTGAGCGGGAAGAGCCTTGAGATCTGCACGGAGAGCCTTGGCTCCGAGACGGGATCCGACAGGTTCTCCTCGTACCCGGCATCCGAGATGGGCAATCTCCCAGATGAAGACGATAAGGAGAGTGACACGGTGCTTCAAGATCTGGCAAAGCTTCAATTGCCGCAGGAAGATCAAGATCAACAGCTCCACTTTGCAAGGTACAGCAATTACGCGGGGTGGGGCAAGAAAAGGCAACAGCCGAAGTCTTTCCCTCCGCCGCTCCCTTCGCTCTCTCGCCCTGACGGGGCCTTGCTCCGCATGCAATCCCGTAGGGACAATGGGCGCTTGGTCCTCGAGGCCATCTCGGTCCCTTCGGAGAAGAACTTCTGCGTGCAACGCCAGGATGGCCGCCTCATCCTCACCTTCAACGTGAGCGGTGCTTTTGAGCGTGTCAACGACGACAATGAAGCAGTAGGAGAAGAAGGCGAGGAGGAACAAGAGGAGGTATTAGAACTAAACGAGGAGTTCTTGGGTTTTGGCGAGAGCGACGAGAAGGAAGAAGAAGAGGGAGAAGATGAAGAAATGGTAGAGGTGGAGGAGGAGGAGGAAGAAGAGGAGGAGGCCAAGAAATTGATATTTGCCACTGAAGATGCTCCACCAAATATATTGGCTAGTGGGGATGTGAATAATGTCCATAAGATTGCCATTATGATGAACAAGAAGCCCATGGATTTAGCTAATAGGAACCCCGCATGGCCTAACAAGTTTAATGAAGAAGATGAGCCAATCCTCCTACCGCAGTCGCTCCCACCGCTGGCTCGGGTGGCCCGAGTGATCACTGATCTGCCGCCACCGTCCACCGCAGCCTCCTTCAATGCTTATGAGTACTTTTGGCGGACCAAATCCACGGTTGCTAGCGCCACTGCAGCTGCGGTAATCAACCCAATCAGTAGTGCCCAACAACAATCCCTTGCCCTTAATAGCTACTCTAAGAAGTACATCGTCACAAAGAGTTTTGTTTCAAATGATCGGCAACATCAAGAACAAGCAGCAGATTTTTGGGCCTCTGGAATTAAAAGTTGCAAGGAAAGCAGAAGGTCTCTTCTGTTCTGGGAGCCCCATTGCATTGCCACATCCTGAAAATATGATTTGAATCCTTACTTTTGTTCCCCTTGGGACACTGATTTTCCTACTTTATTTCTCTTCTCACATCACAACTTTGTGCAGTCAAATAAAAGAAGAAAGGAGAGAGGGTGCTTTGGCTTTGATTTCACGTAGATCAGAGAGAGATAGAGAGAATCATGTGTCATCAGTTATAATATATAGCTTTTTTTTTCCTTTTATAATGTTATGTCCTTGTATTACCTAGCAGCTACAAAAGCCTAAAAACAAGATCTCGAGATCAATCTTTGACTTAAAAGGAGACTTTCATACATGTAACCTTCGCCCCAGACTATCATGATGTTCCTTTTCCTTTATTAATTAAAATTCGCCTTTCTGCGACTCCTGGCCACTGGGGTTTCAACAGGGGTCGGTTTGTCCCAAACTAATTGGTGATTTTTGGGGTAACATCATCGCTACCTTTTCTTGATGTTTTCTTGTCGGTTAAGGGTGTGATGGATGTTTTCTTTTGTCATCCACTAATAATGAATTGCTTCATGAACAAACCTGGTTGAAGCAAGTTGTCACTCAAAAGAGTATTCCGTCATCCACACTGTTCAGTGTGATCGTGTTGCTAGAGTACAAGAAAGAAAAGGTGAATCTTTTTGTGACATGAAAGGAATACCGCAAAAGCCATAAACATGGTTAACGTATAAGAAGTTGTTCCGAGTAATATTTCACCATATAAAACATGTGCGGAGTAATTCTAGGTATACTATACTAGTTTATAAAGATGGTAAAATGACCTCACACATTGTAAATTGGCTTTTATGGATAAGCAGGCTATACCCAACATCTTACAGAAGATCTTCTTGTCCTCAACATGTCTTTGATCCTAGGTGGACTTGTAGGAAAGCATGCATCCGTTCTTGTTGTGATGCTCATAATTCAAAAGTCAATCAGCTAATTAATTGCCTTCTCTTTAATATAGTGTTGTATGTTAGCATGCAAATCGCCTTGATTTTGTTTACAAATAAATCAATGTCCCCAACCATTGCTAGAAGTCATGTGGCTATCCATTGTTCATAAGAAAGTACCCTCATTTACCAAGTTAAGAATTTTGATGAAAATGAGAGAGAAACAATATTTTGTACATTATCAAATGAAGAGTACAAGAGCCTAATTGTAGGCTTTACATGATAACTATCTAAAGTAACGTAATAGTAACTATAACTAATCAAGACCAATCAAGGGAAATATATAGAATCTCCTAAATAGATCCCTCACATCCTCCTCCAACCACAAGGTGATTTGAATGATATCAACTTGAGTTGATAAAAAGATTCAGAAAAACATTCAAATGGATGTGTCTTGGTGAAGACATTAGCAATATGTTCGATTGATGAAGTAAAGATAAGTTAAATAGTGGCACGAAGAACGTGATATTGGATGAAATGACAGTCTATTTCAATGTGCTTGATGCGTTGATTGAAAACATCATATATGTTATTTTATATAGCACTTCGGTTGTTGCAATGAATGACTATGTCAATATTACATCGCACTCTCATGTCTCCCATGTCATATCAGTAAGAGCTCGATATTATGCTTTTGTACTAGAATGAGCGATAGCACACTGTTTCTTGCTCCGTCATGAGATAAGAGTAGCCCAAAAAGAAACAACACCCCACAGTGGAGTGACAATCTTGAGGGTCCTTAGCCCAATCAGCATCAAAAAAGTTGTCAATTACAAGGTAGAATGAGCAAAAAAATAAAGGTCAGGAAATAATGTACCCTTTTTATGTAGTGAAAAATTCGAAGGATTGTAGCAAAATGAGTCATACGGGGCACGATCATGTACTGACTAACAATATGAATAGCATAGGCGATGTGAGGTTTAGTAATAGTGAAATATATAAGACTGCCGCCAGCTATCAACAGAGAGTAGGATCCAAAAGAGGAGTCTCATCTTTGGCATCAAATTTGGCATTGGTCTCAATATGAGTTATAGCAACTTTGTTTTCAGTGAGATCGATTCGAGAAATAAGATCAATGGCATATTTTTCTTGTGAAAGATATAACCAGAGGAATTTGAATTAACTTCCAAGACTAAAAGGTGGCCGAGTCGCCTAAGATCTTTAATTTCAAATTGTTGAATGACATATCGCTTGAGTTTTGAAATGCCAGTATGATCATCGTCAATAATAACCATGTCATCCACATATAAGTAGGGGTGAGCGGTTCCAGGTTCCGGATAGATTCCGCTTGGAACCTGGAACCTACCCTGTCACAGGTTCCAGGGTCAGTTCCAGGTTCCAACAGGTTCTTTTTTTTAATTTCGTTTTGAATTAAACAAAACGAAAATAAACGCAATATTAGATCATCTGAATGATACATACACAATGCCCTGATGTGATATTCAAGGGATATAATGCCAAGTTTACAAATGCAAGAACACAGAAGTGCCCGCACATGCACAAGCACAAGCACAAGCACAAGCACATGTAAGGACGTCATTGCACAATCTTACAGCACTTCCTGTGTAGGTCCTGTTACTTATTTTCATAAATCCAGGCCGAAACTACCCAAAAATGAACAAAAGGATTATATCTTTCAATCCAGCAGCTCACTGTTTTAGCTCAGCACTGCACATATATTCTTCTTCAAGTGTTAAAACAGAAAAACGATTTGACAATAGGCACATGTTTGCACACATATACTTCACAGTACTATGTACAGCCAAGAACTAGATGTATGAAAGGAGTTTCTCGATGTGGCATAAGTTTCTTTTATCGCTGCAGGAGTACCAAAACATATAAGATCTTTTCAATCTTGGCTGATCAATTAGTAAAATGTGAAACACGGACATGGTATAAACTGTAAGAGCAGGACACTCTAATTTTAAAATGGCAAAAAGATTATGTTTGAGATTTAAAACTTCAGAAAGATCAAACTGGAAAGACAATAGAAGTATGGACATGAGCCTTTGATCAAATAAGATTTAAAGAATTACAGGGTAGGAATTAAGCGAACATTGTCATAAATCACTCAGTCCAGAGAATTTTATCTAAAATAAGTTTCTACACCGTTTCCTCAACAGCAACACAAAAATTAATTATTAAGACAATTGTATCACTCCAGTTGCATGTTCTTAAACACAAATATGAATAAATGATAGGGATATAAGATCTTTGGAATCACAACGCCATAACACCGCTCAGTGATAAAGAAAACGAAGACAGGTCTATCTTGTATCTACCTTACCTGGTGAGGTATTTTGGATCATATGTCCCATAAACAACATCATAGTGTCCATCATAAGATTCTACCAACTCCAGATCACTAGTGAATGGTCCCACCTGCGGATATAATAGATGAGCTGAGCCATATATAAGGCAATGGCACTATACAGAAAAATTATGAAGCTTACTCATATCTCCGCTGGCGCTCAAGGTTTAAAAGCACTTCAAATACAGTGTCTGCACAGGCATCAACAACACCAACAGACTTCAAAAGCCAAATAAGGAACAAGACAAGGCAAAAGTTCTAAAGACTCGAACAAAAGAAGCCAATGCCGCATAGGCTCTTAATTATAAAGTTGTTCCACTGGAAGAAATCAATGGCTAATTTCCACTGATCTCAATAGTCTTGACACCTCCAGTACCACCAGGAGTAGCTCAATCCAGTACCCACACCAAGATTTGATTGCTTACCTAATCCGAACTACAACCGAACAACATCGAAAAGGAAAAATCACGTTTCGAAAAGGACACCATCCCGAGCCAATTGTGCTCATACAATTCGTGAATTGCCAATTGAAACCAACATATAATTGCCTCCGCATTCTTGAGTTTCCATTCACTCACATCTCAAGCAAAAATTCTTGCAAACCCACTTCACTTCGGAGTTGCAGCTCTCAATTAAGGACTAGGAAGTTTTGAGCTTTAACTGACCTCTTAAACCAGCTAGAATCACCAAGAACAGCAAGTCCAAAACTCCCAGAAGCAAATCTCAAATCAAAACAAACAGACCCACAAAACCATAGACAAGCACCAAAATCTGCAGTTCAGTAACCGAAAAGATCTACATTCTGTATCTCGACTTAAATCAGTGACACCCAACACTTAAAAACACTTGGGTCACCTCAAGAATTAGCAAGAAGATGGGTAAAATCCGAAACAGAACAGCCCTTGGAGCAAGAGAAAAGGCAAGTCTCCGGCTCCCGAAGCTTCGGATCTTTCTTCTACGGTCTTGCGGAAGCTTGTTCCAATGGCTCGAAACCAAGACGGAGAGGCCACTGAGAGCGAAAGTGCTTCCTTTCGAATCTATAGGCGAGAAAGCATGGTTCTTGAAAGCGGGGTCGAAGCTGGAGAGTATGGAAGCGGGAGCGAGGGCGAGGCGGAAGCGGAAGCGGGAGCGAGGAGCGAGGCAGAAACGGAAGCGAGAGGGAGCTTTAGATAGACGATGATGGAGGATCGGGTGTGATTCAGGAAGAGAAGGGAGCATTTGGGAATTAGGGTTTCTAAATACTAAGTTTATGTTTTGGTTTCGGTTCCGGTTCCAGGTTCCGATTCCGGTTCCAGGTTCCGGTTCCGATTCCGGTTCCAAGTTCCGGTTCCGATTCCGGTTCTAGTTCCAGGTTCCGGTTCCTATAGGAACCGGAACCGGAACCGGAACAGCCGGTTCCTAAAAATGTGGAACCGGGAACCGGACCTCTGTCCATGGAACCTAGAACCGAACCGGATCCACCGGGTCCGGTTCCCGGTTCTACCCTAGAATCGCGCTCACCCCTACATATAAGAGCAGCATAATATACCAATGAAATGTGTGTCGAACAAAAAGAGCATAGTCATAAAGACTAGATTTGAAGCCAAGAGGTTCCATGGTTGAGCTAAACTTGGAATACCATGCACAAGGAGCTTGTTTCAAGCCATATAATGCTTGATGTAATCGATGCACTTTGTTGAAAGGATGGGTGTATCCAAGAGGAAGCACCATATAAACTTCCTTAGTGAGATTGCGATTTTTAGCATATATATGGAACAAAGACTAGCGCTTAATTGCGGCAACAACAAGAAGACTGTGGATAGAAGTAAGATGGGCAACAAGGAGCGAAAGTCTCTTCATACTCAATTCCATATTCCTTAGTGAAACCTTTAGCCACTAGCTGAGCTTTGTAATGGTCCACACATATGTCTTTCTATTAATCTTATATACTCATTTATAACCTACATCGAATTTACTAGTGGACAGATCAACCAAATCCCATATATGAGATTTGTCTAAGGCTTACAACTCATCTGCCATTGCTTGCTACCAGAAAGAATTAATACT